GGGGGGGTTGTTTGTTGTCTTTTGTTGTTGTCGATGGGCTTTTGGTTGTTGTTGTTGTTGGGTTTTTTTAATAGACTTTCTACTTCAAGAAATGGCTTTTACTGTCATTTTGGGGTCAAATTTAACAATCTGCTTGGGGAGAGTTTTTATCGAGTATTTCGGTCTTTCTTCTGGAACATTGTAATCTTCTCAGCCTAGGTAGGCCCTGACGGGCAGGTCGAAGCTCAATTCCTAAAGATAATAATTTAGGAAGAGACAAATGCAGTTCCTGAGACACTTGAAGCGACGTAAAAAAATAGCCGTGAACATTTTACTCTTTCTGAAAAAAACAACCCCAAAACAAAACAAACCAACCCAGAAGGTAAACGAGGCAGAGATGGTCTAGAAGAACTTGCTTGGGGAACTTGGGCAGATAGGTTGCTAGAAAATACCTCTATGATGATTATGTATAAAATAATTTACATTTAATCAAAGTTTTTCTGTGAGCTTCTTCCAAGTAGGGAAAAGAGTGGCGAACCATGATTACAGTAGATTACAGATGTATGTTTCATATCTGGCACCTGAAGAAGTCACAGAGCAATAAGGACTGTACAGTCCCCTAACAACTTCCTAAACGATACCTTCGATTAGGCATAAAGGGTTCAACAGAAGAAAAAATACCCCACTGTTGATATCACATTTTGTTTTATTTCAAAAGTTTTGAGAGTACAGTCGAGCACTCACATAGCGAAATGGGTGGGTAGGAAGCGGAAATTTAGTTGTACAGAACTCACAATGGACCTAACATTATCTTTATAAGTGAATGCCCCAAGCTTGCTTTTTACAACTCTAAGTCCTTTTACTTTTATCTCTCTTCATTCCATTGACTTGAACTAACCGGCGTCTGTGGTGTAGCGGTTAGGCACTTCACTGTTGCGCGCAGGAGACACAGTTTGTTCGATTCTCGAGCGGGAAGGTATTTTTATTGAGTATCAGTCTTTCTGCGTGGATGTTGTTGTATCCCTCTCAGCCAGGGCAGGTAGTGACAGACAAGGTGAAAAGCCCGCCTCCTAAATGATCTAAATCGTATCGATTGGGTAGGGTCGACGATCATGGTTCTCCATTCATTCCTTTGCTCGGATGCTCTTTAAAAAGTTACTTTTCCCTGATCTCTTACCCGTTACCCATTTGTTTAGGTTCTCTAAGTAGGGTGCTCTGGATCTACCCCTGCCTCGTTTGCCTTCAATTTTGCCAGTGAGAGCTAGATGTTCAAGACAAAAAAACAAACAAACAAAAGCAACAACAACCACAAAACAAGCAATAACAAACAAACAAACAAGCAAGCAAAAAAGCAAAAACAACAACAACAAAACACGATGACTTGAACGACATGCAAATTTGAATATCGTCACGAATTATTCCACGAACAGGCACTGACCCCGACCGAGTAGACAGGATCGTGGCGCGGATCTGTAAACCCATCGAGTGTCAGAAGGCGAGGCGCAGAGACATTCAACCTGAACAGACGACACACCACGTTGATAACGACAACGACGACCACGACGATGACGAAGATGACGACGACGACAACAACAACAACGACGACGACGCCAACAAAAACAGCCGCGGCAGCGACACCCACAGAAGTGACGCCAGCAACACCAGCAGCAGGTTCACGGCCAAAGACATCTCGGAGCTGACCGCGAGATTGCAGAAGCCGACAGAGAGTTCCCGCCAAAAGGCGTACCTACAGCGCCGGCAGGAAGACGACAGGGAGGAGGCGAACAGAAGTGAAATCCCGCCGCTTGCGCATGTGCGAAGACTGCCGCCTATAAGTAGGAGGTCGTGACAGTTTAGTATTGTTGTTGTTTGTATTTATGGTTGTTTGTTTTATTTGTTTTTATGGTGTTATGTTTTGGAGATTTTTTGCGATGTTAAAAACTACGCTGCCTTTAAAAGGTCGAACACTCACATAGCGAAATGGGCGGGAAGCCGAAATGAAATCTTTTCGTTATGTACGGTTTATCAGTATTGTTTTGTATTAATGATTGTTGGTTTTATTTTTGGTGAAGTTTAACACTACGCTATTCTCATTTAAAAGGTGTTGAGACTGACAGTTTAGCATTATTGTTGTTTTGTATTCATGATTGTTTGTTTTGATTGTTTTAATGTGTGTTTTGTGGTTTTTTGTGTGTTTTCTTTTTTGGTGACGTTTCATACTACGCTAATCTCAATGAAGGTGATAAGACTGACGGTTTATCATTATTGTTTTGTATTTATAATTGTTTGTTTTATTTTTTTGTTCTTGTTTTTGTTTGGTATGTTTTTATGTGTTGTTTTTCGATGACGTTTAACACTACGCTAATCTTATTTAGGGAGTTGAGACTGTCGTCTTTAAAGAAGTGACTATTTATTGGGGGTTTTTTGGTTGTATTTCTAATTGTTTTGTTTTATTTGTTGTTGTTGTTGTTGTTGTTGTTGTTGTTGTTGTTGTTACTATTATCAATACTGTTATTATTATCATTATTATTATTGTTATTATCATTATTATTATTGTTATTATCATTATCTTTATTGTTATTGTTATTGTTATTGTTATTATTACTGTTATTGTTATTATTATTATTATTATTATTATTATTATTATTATTATTATTATTATTATTACATGTATTATTATTATCATAATTATTACTATTATTATTATAATATTATAATTATTATTGTTACTATTATATATATTATCATCATCATTATTATTTATGCTGTAAATTGTTATTATTATTATTATTATTATTATTATTATTATTATTATTATTATTATTATTATTATTATTATAATTTTTTTTTAATTGATTTTTAAAAAAATTTACGTGATTATCCCAGTTTCAAAACTTAACAAAGTCAACAATATATTTCCTTTCAAGTGTGTCGCTAACCTAATCACTGCAGATGTTTCAAACTTAATCAGTTTTTTTTCGACCATTGATTAAGTTTGGAAATAGATTCTGTTACTATTTGAAATTTAAATAACAAAAGAATAAAAATGAAATTAAAAAAAATAAATTAATGAGGCAATTTCTGAGCAGATTTGATTGTAGAACCCAGTGCAAAGCCACTCTGAATCGAAAATGTTCATCTGTGATAATGTTCTATTATTATTTGTACATTTCCTTTTTAAATCCTGAAAGCTGTATGTGAATGATATATATGAGGTGTGCTAATAAAATGAGTTACTTCTTGCAATCTACAAATGGAGATTATATTGGCCAAAAATCGACATTAGTGTCAAAATTGTAGATTTTCAATTGATGCCTTATTCTTTAAATTTAACCTGTCTTTTATTATTTTATACCTATAAATTGTGAAAACTTCACCTATAAGAATGCTGTATCTATTTCCTAAAGACTTGAATCTGAGAAGTGAGAAGTAATTAATTTTGTCAGCACACTTCACATATACGCTATACTTTTACTTTTATACTTCACATTTTTTTACAATAAATCGGCTTTACGAAAAAAAAAGAAGATTTGTTCAAAGTTTAGCAGCCTCCTTTGTGGTCAAACTGAGCGACACTACAGAGAAAAAAGCCCAAACCAACCTGTCAGGGCCATCCCGGCCGAGAGGGATACCACATCCCAGCAGAAAGACTGGCGAGATACTTGATGAGAAGTTCTCCCCACTCGGGAATCGAACTCGGGTTGTGGGTGGTTGGCGGGTGCTCTGGTGTGGTTTGCTCCTTCTTTCCTATCAAACATCTATCGGCTTTATCTCCCCTTCTTCTTTTTTGGGGTTTGTTACTCGCTTGTAGCACCTCTAATCTTCTGGCGCTCATATGACCTTATTATGCAGTTGCGAGCGCCGTAAAACCTCTACTAAAACAAAGAACTCGGGTCTCCTGCAAAGTTAGCCCTCTGATCAATGCCAGGCGTGACACTCTTGAGCTATTTGCTGAATTATAGAATATCTCTGGCAGTGAGGGGGGTGCGAACATTAGAAGAGAGGTAACTCAAGATTTATTCATAATGCATTGTACTGAAATGGGTACATTATGTTAACCCTATCAGGACGCCCTGGTGTCATTTTGTACCCGCGGGGTTGTATTCTTCACATTGTAGAATACTTCTAGTGCGAAGATCTCTTTGAAACTTTCAGTATTTCTCAAAAAATCATTTTGACAGACTGCTATGCAAAGTGTACGGATCGGATTAACGAATAAATTTCCTCTTTGGAAAGTTGTGGCATAGAGTTCCCCATGTCGTGTGGATACGACAGTAAAACACGATGTACGGATAGGGTTAAGAAAGTGCCTTTTTGTATGAGCATTTTTATTGTCTGAAAGAAAGTTGCTGTCAAAAAGTGCGCTCATGATGAATTTGTATGGTGTTAGTATGAATGCGATTTTAATCTCCTATGTACGCCTTGGGCCCATGCTGTGGAGAAAGGGATTATTATAAGAAAGTGAAGAATATTTTTATCCCCTATCCCCCCAAAATAGACCAAAAACACGTTGAGCCTTAAATATAAAATACTGAGCCTTTTTCCACTCTAAGCCATAAAGAGGTACAATTAGGTTGTTTTGCTATCACAATCTATATGGAAAGTTTGCAAATATGTCATGGCGCTGAGGAATCAAGCGCTCGTCAGTTTTTGGGGATGAAGGGTTATTGGTATCATCTTAAAGATTGTTCATTAAGCTATTTTTTAATGATAAAAATACTTATCTTTCTTGAATAAAAGTTGAGATATTTGTGATGGAAGGAGGTCAGGGTCGCCTAGTTTCAGAGGTAAAATTAGCTTGCCACCAAAATTTGGTAACTTCTAAAGTTTGAGAGTACTTGAAAAATCAAAATGTACATTTTTTTAGCCTTTAATCAATGCTTTTCAGTAAAATCCACACAGAAATGTGTTTTTGAATGGACATAAAAGATGTTGAGCCAAAATATAAAATTCGATAGAAATTTCCAAACCCAAGAAAAAATACTGAAATCTTTGTTGATTTCACTATTTTGACGAGCACCTGATTTCACCACGATGCCTTACAAATCATCTTTGCAGTGCTGCTCGCAGAGTAGATTTTCTAGTATAGGCCTATCATTTTTTTAAAAAGCCAATCCGAAATACATATACCACAGAACATCAACTAGATGTGTCAAAAGAAATACAAGTTATAGCAAACAAATCGTCGGCAAGCTGTTAAAATGTCCTCAGCCCAGAAAGCAACATTTTATTTCAGGAGAGAAAAAAAGAACCCTACAGTTTCATTCTTTTAACAATTGTACCTACTTCATATATAGGCCTACAACTTTCCGTGCTTTTTTCAACTTTTAGAATTTGAAGTTTGACTAAATATTTCTCAAGCTCATGCAACCAAGAGCACAGATTAAGAAAAAAAAAAGTTTTAAAAAAACCCCCAAAACCAAAACATTTTGGTACAATTTGATGACAAAACTGGCTGTGTACAAATGGTCGTTTTTAAGGACAACCGGACTAACCCAGATTTCGGGGGTTTCCAGAAATCTTAACCTACACCAAAAGTGGGCATTACCATACCTATAGGAGAAGTTTGGTTTCATTTCATTGGTGTGTATATGTGTTTGATATAGAGAAAACTCTTCGTGCCTTTTAAAGAAACTGAACAAGGGGCAAAAACTTCACCGTTGAATTTCTCAAAACAGCTTTTTTCGGGATAGCCCCCTTGTGCTTAAAAACAATCAAATAGAGAATATCCTTCCCTGTACTCAGAGTTTCCTACTTCTGTCTCAAACTTTTCTAAACACTAATTAACGAGAAGCACATTAAGTTATGTCTAGTCAATGACAAATTTCCGAGAGTCTTGAGACATGTACATGTTGGTAAAACTCCCCTATCAAGTTTGAAGTACATTACCATGTTTGCGTGTGCATGTATTTCTCCGCCAAATGTAAATCTATTCCCGAAAACAAGAGAAGAGAATTTACATTACAGGCCTTCGTGCTTTTGCTTGCATCTCGTTCATACGTGCGAGTGAAGAGAAGCTTTTGCGTAGTCTACATATTTGTGTGCTGATTCGTAAGTCAATTTAATGAGAATACAATCGTGAAACTAGTGTGATTGAGACGTTCTGGTTGCATGTCTTTGTAGGAACAGAAAAGGAGTATTCGTGACGAAATGCATAAGTATGTATATGAATAAATCAGTACATTA